ACATTGCATCATCCCCAAGCTACACCAATTACAAAACGTTACAATCTACACCGACGCCTCTCTCGACTGCCCCCTCCTCTTTTTCACCGACCATTCCTCGCTTTTTTCCCCCACCCTTGCCCCGTAAGTAGTTTTTTCCCCCTCCAACTACTTTCACTTTTCGGAACATTTTGATAAGAAGACGGGCAGAGAGAGATTGATAAAAAAAAACAGCCGGCGGGGATGTTCCTTCGCAAAAAGCGAAGAGAGCGACCCCGGACGACGCTGAAGGGAGTCGGTGGGAACAGTGGTAGCAACTTTAAACGCCGGTATGAGACTTTGACAAAAAAGTGGAAATCACCCGTGGGAGGTTATGAAAGCAAACAGGGTGGTAAGGAGGAGGAGAAGAAGTTGGTGGAAGGGAGATAGGTAAAGTACAAGGGCAAACAGAGTCAGGTAGTTGTTGAGAAATCAGTTGATGGCCGAAATTCAGCTCAGCCAATAAGGAAATTTTTTGTAAAGCCATAATTTTGTTCAAAAAATGGATGATTTCGGCCTGATTCACAGATTTCAACGGTGATTTTATATGGTATCTTAGATTTTCTTTATATTCTGTGTAGATGCTATGTGCTTTACAACAACTACTGAAACCTTTACGTCATGATTAACAGAAGCAACGATTACATTTGGGCCAAAATGAACCATCAAGTTAAGCTTGAAGCTTCACAATCTTGAACTGAGACCACTTGATTTGCTTTGGATTTTATCGTATATTCTTTGTCGAGGCTACATGTCACTTTTTGTAAATTAGAAATCACAGAAGGCGTATTTTAACCTAAAAATTTTTCATAGAATAATGTTCAAAGTCATCATTTTTTGGCCCTCTTTTATTGCCCATTGCCCTTTCGCATGTGAACTCTCGCCCAGTTACTTATAACTCGACCTCTTCTCCTGCCCTTAAACCGACACTGTCCGCAAGTCCTGCCCTTCGGCGACCTCCCATTATCATCGCAAACAAACCGGAGAGAGAAAAAGTGGCTGGGGTGGTGGCGCTTCCGAAAGGGACCCCAACCAAGTGATAAGGCAATTCATCAACCCCAGGCCGCTCATAAAAACTTGCTTTGTCGCCCGAAACCCCTTCATAAAAACCAAGTGTAATCTAATTTCCGAGAAAAAAGCGGATCGCGACGGCCGATAGATTATCACCGCTTCTCTCGAAACACAATTGTAATCATGGGACCTACAGTAGGAAAATGGAGACCGAAAAAAGTAAAATTAGCTGGAAGCGAGTTGTTGGTCATCAATGCGAACAAGTCAATGGCAAAAATGGCACAATTAAACTGCAATTTTTTCATGTAAAAAATTTTTAGTGACCATTTGCAATGATTCTTAGCCAAAAATTGATTCCAATATTGAAAATTTTTGATCTTAAAAAACTCGTTGTACCAAAGCCGACGGTAATTTGTAAAAACGCCGAAAAGCCATTGATTGTCAAGTGCCTTTAACAAACTGTTTTGTTTGTGAAGGCAGTGTTATAATACTCAAGGTCAGCCCCAAGAAGAAAGAAACTGATCGGCGCCGGAGTTTCGCGCACAGTGCAAAAATAAAGTCACAATTGGGAGGTCCTAGGTATAAAATTTGATTCTTTATGAACTTGTGAGAAGCCTTACATTGAATTTTGGAGGGCTTATGCAAAAATTTTAGCCTATGATTTGTAAAAAAATCGAGTTTTTTGGTCGATAACTTTTTGATCAAGGCTTAAATTAAAAACAAATTTATCGTACAGACCAAAGCAGCGTTTCCTAAAAATAAATTTTTTCCCGGTATGTTATATGCCGCCGCAAAAAAAGTTTTTACTCTAACCGATCTCCTCATTTTTCAACATCTCTCATCCGAAAAAGTTTCTTGAATATCACAGTTGCCTTCGCAAAACGCGAGCTAAAATTTTTAGCGATTAACAAATAGTCTATATAAAATATCTATGCAAAATGTAAAGAAAATCTAAGCATCTCACTTCGAGAAATTTCCATTTTATCTACTCCCCTGACCGGTATACCAAAAATCCCCAAAAGTTCAAAAGGCAGTCTACAGTAACCCCAAAGACAATTCCAAGCCCAGTAATCTCTCCTTGGAGTTTCAAAGAGGTCTCACTTTCGTCAAAACAAAATTCGCACCTCCAGACTTCCCCCCAAAAAAAACCTTAGGATTGTTATTTATTGCTGCAAGTGGTTGGCGCTCCGCGTTACGAAATGTTTTTTTGTCAACGTTACACTAATCAAAATCAGGTTGTTTATGTTATTTAATAATTTTCGCGACTATCAGCTCTGGGCGAGGTCACGTTTTTGGCGGGGGGAATTAGTAAAGTGACACCCTGTTTTTGACAAGTGGTTGAATCGTAAAGTGACTAAATTTTGGTCCCAATGAAAGATATATGTGTATCTGAACAGAGTTTACTACATATTTAAATCAAAAAGCAACATTTTCTTCCAGCCTTCGGTACAATACAAGCCAAAAACTAGTTTTCTCTTTTTCTCTTACCGTCTCTCCTATTTTTCCAATCTCTCAAGAGTAGCCGAATATCCGTCTGTCGGGAAAATAATGAGCACAAAGTCGCTGAGCCAATCGTGTCGCTGAAGCAAAAAGAAATTTGATTTTGCTGCGACACAATTCATTTTCTTGACGGCGACGCGATTTTCGATGTGATGTTAAGCGCATTATTTTCTCGACAAACTGATATCTCACTTGCCTGTAAATCAAATGCTAAAACGTTTTAAAATGCGGCCAAAATTTGCAAAGAATCCGGCTGTCGCACCCGAGGCGCTGCAATTTGTAACCAAGTCTAACAATAAGAACATACTCTAAACACTTGGTAAGCGATCTCTCGGCTTCCACCTCAAATACAGATCTAGATTTTACTGTGACTAATATTTGGCCTATGCAGAGGATGTATATAAAATTTGACGACATGAAATTGCGTTTCGAAAAATTCATTGCAAATGTATTAATCTCTGGTCTTGAGGCCTTTGAAACAAACTTATCAGAGGCTTAGCTGGCCATAGCATCCGGAATTTTCCAAAAACAAGATTCATAAAAGTCTTTCGTAACAGAAAAATATTGTACTTTTACAACACGTATTTTGCAAAATTTTTTCTGTAAGTTTATTTCCTAAAAAAACACTTTATTTCTTTCAACGCTAATTTTAAATTTATCATCTTCTTCGCTTAATTTATGCATATTCAAATTTCTCTTCATTCCTTTTACAATCTCACTTGCAATTTTTTTTATTGCCGCAGGGGTGGTTGACAAAAAAAAAGCGCCCGTGGAACGGAGAAGAAGACCGGAAAGTCCTACTTTTTATCAGTGGGCTGTTACAAAAAGAACGGACGAAGAATGCAAAGTGTTCTTGAACGGAAAAAGTGCGAAGGGCTCTGATAAGATCTCAGAAAAGAAAAACCGACAACTAAAAAGTAACGAAAAGCAAGAAGAAATGGAAATGTAGCGTTCATAGCCAGAGGTGACGAGTGTTTATGTAAACATGTAGTGTGCTGTAATAATTATGTGTTAAACCAGACTGTTTAGTAAATACGTAATGTGCAGTAATAGTTTTAAAAATGTGATAATCTAGGCTCTGTACAGCGAAGTGTCGAATTATCAGCGGGTTAAAAAGTTGTTCGTTATAGAAGGGTTATGCTTTTTACAAGAGCAGTGCGATGTAAAATCTTCAAAGTGAGAAGTTCAGATTTTATTTCATTTGTTCACACACACGACAGTAATCATCTCAAAGAATATTATTATATTAATACAGTAAGATGGCTATTTCCACAGGATTGTAAAAAAAATAAATAAAAAATCCCAAAAAATCTCCCTCATTCCCAACATCCTGATCAAACCCGACCACTCCGCATTCCCAAGAATCCGATCACTGATGGCATGCGTTTGCCCATCCTTTTCAAGCCGATGCAACACTAATTATGTACGTCCAGGTAAAATAAGGCAATTAGTTCGTTTCTGGATGCGCTTCTTTACCTCGGGACAGGGCTTTTGGCACTTGTGGCGGACTTCTTACGGACAAAATCGGTGCTTTTTTAGCCTATTTCGATTGAAAATTTTGGCAAGTTTATTACATATATTACAATGACGTGAAGATAAACTAATGATCACCATCTTTGCTATATATTTTTTTTCGATTTTTTGCTCAATAAATTTCACGGGAGTTGCACAGGTTTTGCAAGAAAAAGTGTTGCGTTTTGACTTGCGTTGACGGCGCAAGAGAGCTCGGAAGAAAACAAGGATGTTCCATGTGTCCTGGAGGCAAGTTTGCCTTCCTTATTTGAAAATAATTGTTGTCGGCACAAGCACCGGCGACATAATCGCCAAATGTAATTTTCCAGCTGGGGTGCCAACTTGTTTTACCAAAAAAAATCTTTTTCGCAACCCGAACGTCTGATTTTGAGGTCAGAATAGACACATTACACTGCATGACAACTGCATAAAATAAGCCTAATAATAATGTCTCACACGGTAAAAGGTATTTCAAACAATTTTTTCAAAAAAAGTTCACTTATCGACCGATTCTACCGACAAAAAAAAAGAAAATTTTAAAAAAAACCCGATAGCCCTTCTCATTCGATGCATCCTGAAATTCGAAAATTTCGGCTGTTGGAATGGTTCTTGTTGGAGCGTGCGGTCGGTCCCAATTGCTGTCCGATGGTGCAAGATGATGGACCTTTCGGTTGAGCCGGACAGATATGACCGACTTTGGTAACTTTGAGGGCGTGAGGGTGTTGTGATAAAGCTATGAGAGATGCACCTGTGATTTTGAGGGAACGTTGGGGGTCTGAGAGCATGTACTTGCTTGATCTGTCGAGTATTTTGAGGGTTTGAAATATTTGTGACGGTATGAGGAGTTGTGGAAGATATGTGTGATTTTGAGGGTGTGTTGAGAGTCTGTGGAAGTGCTGGCGTGTTTGTTGAGAGCTTTGGAGGTTTTTTAAGGCCTTTGTGACATCGTTGAAGGAATTATGGGCTGTATGAAGAATGTGGATGGAGTTGGAGGGTTGTTGAGGTCTGAGGGTGCTTCTACGGTCTGAAAGTGTGCCCTATGTGATTTGTGAGGTCTTTTGAGGTCTTCTGAGGGTTTGTGCGGCTATTGGGATCTTGATTGTGGAGGAAGGTGCGGAATGATGAGAATTGAGAGATTATGGGTGTTTGTGGCCATAATGTGCGAGAATGGCTGGAGTTCGTCAGTGATGTTGTCTGAGTGTAAGATGATTGCGATTGGCAGGGGTTTATGAGGTTTTGAAACTTGAATTTGAATCGGGGATGCTTTGTGAGACATTTTCTGGCTGTTCGCTTGAGGATCTTTCTTGTCATGTTCGGGGCTTTGAGCGCTATTTTTTGTGTTTTGTGTTGCTGAAGGAAGTTAGTTATGGTATTTATTTTGGGATACTGTGTATGGATTTTGATTTTTTTGTCATCATTTTGCATTTTATAGCGATTTTTCGTTTTTTGAACTCGTTTTGGTTTTATTTCTCTATTTTTTATTTTCAGATACCGAACCTCTGCCATTTCTCCACGGTATCCAACCATCTTCGTCGTTTTTTTATTTTCAGATTGCCCAGAAAGCACAGTGTGGTGGGATCGGTGGATTTTGGCAACTTTGGGCATATTGTAAGCAAATCAGTGAAAATCAAGATCAGATAAGTTACTCTGTATCATTTTGATGATATTTTTTCCCGTTTCTAACCGTATTGATAGATTTTTTTCAGACTTCTGGCACGTCTTGTGATGGCTTCTGGAGCTCTGCATTGTTGGAATGGCGGTTTCTGGAACTGGAAATGATCACCGCCTTTTTTGCCTTTTCAGATCTGGACGGATTCTGCGAATCCGGCTTCACTTTTGATCTGGGAACTCTTCGAGTTTCCAGATCCGACCCTTGACCTTTGAACTTGAGCTGGGGATGGGCCCTTTCAACTCAAATTTATTAAAACTAATCTCTTTTTCTTTGCAGATGACCGGGCAGGCGGGACCAAAGGGCAAAGGAGCGTGCTTCGACGTAAAAACAACGTCGTCGGTGGAGGAGGGGAAGAACAAGGATCAATTGGATGGCCAGGGTTTTCTTTTAATATTGTAATTTGTCGTGTATTTACAGGTTTTACAGGCACCGTCGAAGCACAGAGGCGCTGACAAGGACACAATGGATCAAGGCCAGGAAGGTAATTTTTTGGGTAAAATTTAAAAATAAATAACAAAAAGGGGGATGGGGGTTTATTTGCAGAAAACAGCACCGACCGAGCGATGGACCAACGGAACAACCGGACAATTGGATCAATTGGAAAACAATGGAAAGAAGGTAAATTTTAATTTGAAATTGTTTTGGGATTAGCCCCGCCCCGCCCCCCCCCCTCCCCACCAAAAAAACTGGGATACTTGGATGCATTGATACCTGCATGCATGCAAGTATACCATGATTTATAGGTATATGCATGTAACAATGCATATATTGTGAATAGTAATATCTGCATGAACTGCAGCCCAGCCCAGCCCAGCCCAGCCCAGCCCAGCCCAGCCCAGCCCAGCCCAGCCCAGCCCAGCCCAGCCCAGCCCAGCCCAGCCCAGCCCAGCCCAGCCCAGCCCAGCCCAGCCCAGCCCAGCCCAGCCCAGCCCAGCCCAGCCCAGCCCAGCCCAGCCCAGCCCAGCCCAGCCCAGCCCAGCCCAGCCCAGCCCAGCCCAGCCCAGCCCAGCCCAGCCCAGCCCAGCCCAGCCCAGCCCAGCCCAGCCCAGCCCAGCCCAGCCCAGCCCAGCCCAGCCCAGCCCAGCCCAGCCCTATTCAATATTCAATTTTTATTACGCGCTTATTTTACTAACGCAATAAACGCTGAAAGGGGGGGGGGCATCGTATCAGGTATCAGGCATCGTATCGTATCCTAATGCACGAGGTACGTGCCGTGCCGGCTGTAAGGCGTGGGTCCTAGGGCACGAGGTACGTGCCTACCGTAAAGCGTATTGATTGATGAAATTGTGAAGAAATGTGGGCCTGTCGCGGTAGATGTCGCTCAGAATTTGCAATCGTATCTCCGCAATTAGATGGGAAAGAATGGATACAGCATGTCTGTATTCAAAATATGTGTGAATCTTAATTGAAGGTTCGTCCTTTGTTTGTAAAATTGATTGTTGAAATGAACGAAGTTTCATCGTTTTTCAGCCTTTTTGCGAAGCATGAGTCAGCTTAATTTTTTGCTGAAGAGTGTTATGCTGCGAATACGTAATTTTTTCCGCAGTCCTTCAAATATATGGCAAAGGCTTCAAAACAGCAAAAAACGTTTTTCTCTCTTACTCTCTTAACTTTCTAACCGTGCCATAAAGTCCCAGATATCGCAGGAAAATGCAAGCCTGTGCAGAAAAGCTGAATCGCGACGACGAACGCGAAAAATCGATGAAAAACTGACAGTGCAAATACATATATATAATCACTATGTTCCTCAATATCGAAAGAGCGCTAACAGCTAAGCCCGAACAGCAGATTCACAAAGCCAACAGTTTTTGAGGTCAGTTTTATTGATCAGTGGAAGAAAAAACTAGTTTGGACGTCCACATAACTTGATCAAGCCGCAAACAAAGTCCCCGTTGATTTTTCGTTGAGCCTTGGCCGACGTCATGAGAGCATCGCCAACGCCACTAATCTTTTGACACACATCAACCGAGCCATTGGTTTGGGCGAGGATGACATTGCGCATGGATCCCATCGCGAGCTTACAACCTTCCTAAAAATGTAAAAAATTAACGTATAGTGTAAAAAATGTACTAAGGGTGTTTAGCGGTAAATAAATATATCCACCCACCGACAAATCGCACACAGAAATTGGGCCGAGAAGGCTGATCGAGTCCAGAAAAGGCTCTCCGTATCCTTCCATTCCTCCTTTACAGGCGGTGCAAAGCACTCCCTTGACTTGTTGCCCGGCCTTCGAACCAATGGCCGCCGTTGTCAGCGCCAAAAACTTCTCGTGCAAAGCGTCCAACTTGACGAACAAGGGACCGTCAAATTCGATCTCGTACTTGCTCAGCTTCTCCGCTTGTTCCAACAGTTTTTTAATATACTCGACAACCCCCTTGCTTTTGACGAATTTCTGGACTTCTCCGGGGAGCTCGGTCTTCAACGCATGGAAAATTTTTTTTGCTTTGTCGCCAAAGTCGTCGACGAGATCCTGAAAATAAAAAGGAAATTTTTGTGGAAACACAGGAGGTAGTGGAAGTGAGACGCTCGGATTTTAATAGAGCCTGCCTCAAAGTAGGACTGTTTTTATAGATTTTTTCAAAATTCATGGCCCACGCTTTGCAACGAACAACAAGATTTTTAGGACAAGAAAGTTCTTTTGCGAGTTTTGCAGGAAAATTTTCCCTTTCGAACTTGGCAGAGATAAGGATAAAAAATCCTTTTTTTCTCTGACCACTTTCCGAACTTTGCGGACTCTCGCCGAAAAAGATTGTTGAATATTTCGGCTTCTCCGGCGAAGCGCCGGCTAAAATTGTTGGCAATTGATACATGGCCCAAAGCTTGTGTAAACTTTAAATTGAATCTGTGTGCACTCGAGCACTTCCTTCATAAATAAAGAAAAAAACCTCCTTACCTCAACGTCATCGAGAAAATTACCGACATTTTCGCTGAGGATATTGTGAACGTCGCCTGCGAGCTCTGCAAAACACTTCGGCTTAGTCCATACAGTTACTTATCCTACCCTTCAATTTGTCAACTCCGAATCCAAACGCGCCCAAGACGCTGAACTCTTCCTCTTGACCGAAACTATCACCATCGAAGATGCCTCCATTGACTGAAAAACATGGTAAGGTTTCTAGTAAATAGTAGAAAAATTGAGGATTCAAGTTTTATTTGCAATTTTCAACTCACCAAAGCCCACAAAAATCAGTAGAAAGCAGTAGAAATTCATGTTGCACTTGGCTGCAGATGAATCACCAGTCAAGGCAAAGGACGAACGATCGAAATGACCTTGTTAGTCATTGAAAAGCTAGTGAAAATTGTTTGAAATTAACATATTTTTTGATGGGAAATTTTGAAATTTTTTGATTTTTTTATATTAAATTTTGAGCCGTGAGAGTAAGCCGATGATAATTTACCGTAGTTTATTATAGTTTATCGTCCAAATTTTGCGTCAAAATTGAGATTTTTTGCATTTTCAGTCAACTAAAAAAACTATGATTTACAAACAAGACTATTTACAACGTAATAATACCCTTGGGGAATCCTCAACAACTTCGGATTCTCTCTAAAACAACAAAATAAACAATAAAATGTGCAAAAAGTGCACTATTTTTTGTCGCGACTCGCGCCCAGGAAAGAGGATGCCACATAGTCGGTGAAGATGGAAAAGACCGATTCGACCGGTCGATTCGGATCTCGGACCATGGGGATGGCGTTGAGGATGAACTTTTCGATGACCCCGCCCTTGCCGCTGACCCCGCGGAACGCGCGATTCTCGCTTCCCGGAACCCATGCCGGCGGCGGGGGCTTGGGCAAGGGAGTGCCGGAATCTCGGATATAACGGAGGGTAAATGACCCATCATAGGATTGGTCTCGTGGGTCGTGGATGACGATGATTTCTTCTTGATCCGAGAGGGTCTCGACGTTCTTTTCGTCGCAACTGAAAAGGGAGATTTTGACTCAAATTGTCAGCAGAATCAAAAAAAAAGTACTCAAATTTCTATAAAAAATATTGGGAGATTGTAAAGCCTTGGTTGTAAAAGCTTTGGCACACTTCATTTTTCTGGCCCACTCCAAAATGAAAAACAATTTTTTTCCGAGCTGCGCCCCAGCCTTAACTAAAAGCAAGCGTGAATTTCTCTTTAGCAAGTCCTTGGGGTTTTTTTGTTCTTCGGTGGCCCTATTCTAGCTCAGAAACCCCAGCGATGAAAACAACTTTTTCCAAAATATGCCTTATATCCGATAAGTTCCATTAATTTTTTCTTAATCTCCATAGCAACTTATATCTCTGTCGGGAAAATAGTAAGTGTCGCTGTAGTGAAAAGAAATTTGATTTTCCCGCGACGCAATTCGTTTTCTCGGCGACTATGCAATTTTCGATGCGGCAGAGTGCTCATTATTTTCTCGACAGACTGATATAAACTTCCTTACCAACTCCTGAACCCAATCTGCTGAAAGTCGGAGTTGTGTTTCAGCTCCAAAAACGATTTACAAGTGGTCTGACACTGGTAGCTGGCCTTGTCGAGGATCACTCGAATCCTCGCTTTCTTGGCGCTGATCCTCCACACACATCGTTGTTTCCCTTTGTGCGTCAAATGCTGCCAATTCTCGAGGGCATGAAGTTCGCCGCCGCATAAGGCAAGCTCTGAAATTTGGGATTTTTAACAATTTCATGGCTCATAATCTCATCGATTCGCTTCGAATCTCACCTTTCTCCACCTGATTACAATGCGGTCCGCCGAGGCCCGGAGGGCATTTGCATTGATTGCAGTTGTTCGGGTCCGCGTATCCACCGTTTTCGCAGCGGACTTTGGTGCCGGCGCAGGTCTCTGAAAACATTAAATGGGCGTGATTTTGGAGGAGAAAATGCTCGGAGGGTAATAGACGTATCTCTTTAAAACTTTGGCTATGTGGTATGTGTTTCCCACGTATAAATCCCTGATAATCTTAGCACTTAATCTACACCGGTTGTCAAGATATGCAACAGTTTCAAAGTTGAGGTCTTACTGAAGCAATAAAGTCGATTGATCTGTTTCACATCAATGAACGACGGCCCCACTCTTTGACCAATCGTATGTTGATAGCGTTTGTCTTTGGTGACAATCGTATTATGATCCCAGTCGAGAGTGAATGCAGTAGGACCGTAGTGCATCACTGAAAATAGATATTTTTTCGATTGCTCCTCCTTACCTGATCCCAGATCGTAGGGAAGTCCCATTCCGTCGCTCTCCAAGTCACTTCTCTTGGCAAAGTTTCCCTCGGTGCCTCCGGCAATATACTCTCCTTCCAGTTTGATGTACTTGTCGCGATCGGGTCGAGATTGCTCATGCCAGAAGCCGAGGGAATGTCCAACTTCGTGGGAGACGATTCCTTTCTGGAAATGGTCATCATAAATTGAACAGTTCACAGCTCGTTTGTCACGATATTATTTTACCAAAACTATCTTTTAAAGTACAAAATTTCCAGTCATATCAGTCTGTCGGGAAAATAATGTGGATTTCGCGCCTTGAATCTCCCATTTGGAACGGTTAGTCGCGGCTGGAAATTTGGTGGGCAACCGCGACAAGGCGAGAGATTTTTTAGCTATAGATCCATATTATTTTCCCGACAGACCGATATAGAAATCAGGCAGATGTCTTGTTATATTACTCACGTCCTCACATCCAAACCCAATTGAGATTTTCTGAACCCCACCGGTCCTCCCCACACTCGAGTAACAACCTCCACCGCGGATGAATTGAATCCGATCTTTGCCGGCGCCATTTTCCTTGAAGCGGAGACAAGTCTCACGCTCCCACAACTTCAGGCCCTCTTTGATCAATTGACGCCATTTTTCTGAAAATTTTTGAAGTTGGTTAGTGAAGGATATCGTCTATATTATCTAATAGGAAAGGCGCCCCAAGTGCGACGCTCAGTTTTTTATGAAACTTTAGAACAAATTTAGAACAATTTTTTGACAATAAGACAAGATTTTTAGGTCAAAAGTTGGCAGAAATTTGCTAATTTTTTTGGCGAATCTAGGCCACAAAGATCGACAAATAACTCAGTCTATACTCTCAAGGCGCGTCTCAAATCTTGACGACTTCATTTCTACTACAGTAGGCATATCTACCATACAATTTTTGAAAAAAATCCGGGTGTTACCCCAGGCGCAATCCCTCTAATTGTAAAACTTACTGTCATCCTCCCTGAACGTGTATGGAATTGGGGCTGTGGTTTTCCATCGATAGACCGAGCCAGTGATGACTTTTCTCTTCACTCTCCTTCTGTTCCCCTTTTTCTTCTCTGCTTCGGCCACCACGATGCTGAAATTTACCGCGGTATACCGTAATTTGGCAAAACTTTATAAAAAAATAGAAAAATTTTTTAAACTCTTTGCAAAAAAATCCCCGGATTTCCTAAATCCATTGGATCAAAAAGTGCAAAAAACATTTTTCACCAATTTTTTGAGGTTCAAAAACATTTTTTTTGCTCACGTTTGCACTTTTCAAAAATTTGAAAATCCATTTTTATTCATTTCCTCCTGTTTAGTAGGTCTGAAAGCCCGGCTAAATGTCGAGAGCTTCCGCGAAATCGTCAAAGAGCTCGGCGGAGACTTTCAGGTAAGGTCTACTATGTCTTTATCGCCATTTTCAGCCATGCTTCATCGGGCGAAGCCTTGGATGTCTATCGAAACGCGGAGGGGAAATTGGAGAAGACCCATGGAATGCATTGGCTGACAACCGGGATTTTCTTGACTGGCGAGCTAGCTGGCGCTGGAGTAATTGCCCTCCCGTTGGCTGTCAGGAATCAAGGTGTGGATTTTGCAAAAAAAAATTTTTTATTTTTATAATTTTTGTTTTTTATTTTATTTTTTTTTTAATTTTTAGGTTTTTACTATGGAATGGTGGCCGCAGTAGTTCTGCTGCTGATGTGCGCTTACACGTCGATAATCTTGGGAAGGTCTTGGATGATCTTGCTGAAACATTGGCCAGCCTATCATTCCCATTGCAAGAATCCGTACGCTGAGATTGGAAAGCGCGCCATGGGACGGTATATGAAGTAAGTATGGGGTAATTTAGCCTAATTTCTGTTTTTTAGCAATTCTCTATGGGTCTATGTTTTTTGCATAGAAATAAAAATGCTTTTTCTTAGCTTAAACTTATTTTTAGAAAAAATGATTTTTTTCATAGAAAAAAACGTTTTTATTTTAGAAAACAATGGTTTTTCCTTAGAAAGTGCAATTTTTAGTAAATTGATGTATAATAATAACAAAAATTGATTTCAAACAGTAACTAGTAGTAAATTTTGTTAAGTAATGGGGTAAAATAGTAAGAGTAGTAACTTTTTTAATGAATATTTGGTACTGGGATATTCGATGGTTCTGATTTCGAAAAAATAGCTTGTTTTTTGTGATTTTGACTTTTTTCTTAAGTAGTACTGTAAATTAGTAACAATTTGTATTGTTTATGCCTCAATGTCGGTTGAAATCGATTTCTTGCTCATACTTGGGTTTACCCTTATATAACTTCAAACAAATTCTGACGAACCAGAAGGAATATTCAATTAAACAATTCAACAATTAATCAAAAAATTCAAAATTGATACTAACTTACAGTACTACTTAAGAAAAAAGTCAAAATCACAAAAAAACGAACTATGTTTTCGAAATCAGCACCATTGTTTTTGAGCAAAAAATAAACTTGAAACAGAATGCCAAAAATTGGCGGAAAATGAAAATTCAAAAATTTTTATCGGAATTTTTTCTCTTTTCTTTTATACCGACATAAAAAAATGTTTTATAGACAATTTTTGGCAAAAAATCAGCTTAAAACGGAATGCCAAAAATTGGCGGGAAAATGAAAATTCAAAATTGTTGACCTAATTTTTACTCATTTCTCTTCTTCCGACGGAAAAAATATTTCATAGACTATTTTGGACTAAAAAATCAGCTTAAAACAGAATGCCAAAAATTGGCGGGAAAATGAAAATTCAAAATTTTTGACCTAATTTTTACTCATTTCTCTTCTTCCGACATAAAAAATGTTTTATAGACAGTTTTTGGCAAAAAAATCAGCATGAAACAGAATGCCAAAAATTGACGGGAAATGAAAATTCAAAATTTTTGATCTCTATTTTCGCTTATTTTTCTATACCGACGTGCAAAAATGTTTTATAAACAATTTTCGGCTAAAAAATCATCTTGAAACAGAATGCCAAAATCCCCGCGAAAACAAAAATTCAAATTTTTTTTCAGAAATTTTGTCGAAATTGTCCTAAACTATGGAATGTTCGCCGTGGGTGCATTGCTGATCGTGATTGTGGCAAAGGGAGTGGGAGATATGATCAAAGCCTTCACCGAGACCAACTTCTCCTACTGTTACAACGTCCTCATCGTATCTCTGATCATCTTGCCCAGTTTCTATTTACGCTCCCCGGAGAACTTCCAGTAAGTCTTTATGTCCTTTTTTGGGACTAAAAATTCTTTCCAGCTGGATTATTAACGCCGGGATGGTCTGCACTGTGGTGGCCATCATCCTGGCTATGATCGGAATCGTCAAAGATGCATTTTTATGTGATTTGGGAATAAAAGAGGTGGAATTGACCCCGCTGAGGGTGGCTGGCGGATTTGGGACGCTCTTTTTTGCCTATGGAGGCCATGCCGTCTTCCCCAGCGTCCAGCATGATATGAAAAAACCTTATTTGTTTTCTAGAAGTTCCAATCTGGCGTACACTTGTAAGTTTAGGAGTATTTCTTTTTCAAATCAAAAAATTTTTTTGGGAAAAATTTATAATTTATAAGTTTTAGGTATTTCGAAACTTTTAGTTTTGATTTGAAGTCATTTCGACCTTTCAAAAGGCTTTTGAAAGAAATTAGCGACCGTCTCCCATGTGGTCTAGTGGTTAGGATTCGTGGCTTTCACCCACGCGGCCCGGGTTCGATTCCCGGCATGGGAAGAAAATGTTTTTTAGATTTTATATATTTTTGAAGCTAAAAAAGATACTGTAATCAAAATTTCTTAATGGCGCTCTAAATGGCTTGAACGCTAGGAATAGAAAGCCAAATTTTGATTTTGTAAATAGTAAGCCAGTTTTTCGATAAAGAATTTTTTAAAATCAATTGGCAAGGCTATGAAAATCACCCAAAATTTAATCAAATCAAAGAAATCGCAATTTATTTTTTTGATGTTTTGAGTAAATCCATATTCGAAATTGTTTGTAATCCAGACTAAATGATCTGACAGAAGCTTTGGAGTAAAATAAACCCAGTTTATATTTCAATTTTCACCACAAATACCCTCTTTCAGTGGTCGCCCTGATGTACTTCCCGTTGATGATAGCCGCCAATTACGTCTACGGCGACAACATCCAGCCCTCGATCATCAACAACATCAACACGGTGTGGATCCAGCAGTCCGTCAACATTCTCATTTTTCTGCACTGTGCACTCACCGTGGTGCTGGTGATGAACCCCATAAATCAGCAGATTGAGCATTTTGGCGGAGCTCCTCCCGAGTTCAGCGCGCGCAGAGTGTTCTACAGGACGCTGGTCATGTTGGCGGCCGTCTTTCTGGCCGAATCTTTCCCCAATTTTGGGCCTTTGATCGACTTAATGGGCGCTACGGTGTTCACCATGACTTCGTATATATTCCCAATTGCGTTTTATTTGTACTTGAATGCTATTGACAAGATATTTGATGAGATGACGAAAAATGGAGAGGAAATTCCGACGGAGAATGGAGAAAAGACCCTCAAAATTGGGTTTTATGAGTAAGTTGGGGTAAAAATAAGGTTGGAAATGGTTCCAATGATTGGGAATATGAAAGTAGAGCCATTTAAATTACATCTACCATCATGACTCATCCTATTTCTTACCAAAACCAGTAAAAAATATATGAAAACCACTATTTTTTTAACAATTTTGTTAAAATTTCCATTTTTTCTGTTTAAAAATCCGTATTTTAGAGGCGAAAAATTTATAAACGCTACCTGACTTATGTTTAAAACCATCTTGAAAATATGAACAAAAAGTTTTCTCAAAAAAAAAATCTTTTCTTCCCATGCCGGGAATCGAACCCGGGCCGCGTGGGTGAAAGCCACGAATCCTAACCACTAGACCACATGGGACACACCTCGCGTTCGCTTTCAAAACCCTTTTGAAAAGTGGGAATGGGCTGGAATAGCGAGGGAAATGGCACAAAATATCTGTTTTGTCATACTGTAGTTACCAAAAAATATTTTTTTTCGTGGTTTAGAGTTTTTTGCCATCTAATTTACATAATGTTTTATTAAACTCATATTAAAATTATTTTTCAGAGCCTGCAAATACGCGAGTTCGTTGGATTTGGCGTACTGTTGTGCAATCTACAGTAAGTTTTTTTGACAAAAATTGTGAAAAAAAATTTTTTTTGAACTGATTTTTTGAGGCATCTTAAAATCAAAAATATTTGAAAAAAGATTTTTCTAAAATTTCTCCTTCAGTTGTGGCAGTCCTGGTCTTCTTTTCGGCCACAACCTCCGCCATCGAGGCGCTCAGCTATTCCCAGTTCCTGACCCCTTGCTATTTGAAGTTTATTTGGCCATGGCCGGTGGAAAGCCTCACAACGTCGGCGTTGGCCTGCTGCGGGGACTACCACAACCTCTCTCTGCAGCATTGCTATTCTTTGTTTGATTGAGTTTGATCGTCAAATTGGATATTTTTTATAATATATATAGAATAGGAATAAATTATTTTGATATGATCGAAGTTTGAGTAATTTGCAAAGTAACTTGGCCTTCTATTAGTAGTTTTCAAGCCATTTAGAGCACCATTAAGATCAAATAAAAGTCAAAATTTTGCAAAAATTGTAAAAAATCAAAGCCTTCCGCAAAAAATTGTTTGAACGGTAAAATAAGTTCCCTCAAATTCCCACTGGAGACGTGTTGTGCAATCACAGTATCTTTTCCAGGTTCAAAAATATAAAAAAATCTAAAAAAAATTCCTTCCCATGCCGGGAATCGAACCCGGGCCGCGTGGGTGAAAGCCACGAATCCTAACCACTAGACCACATGGGAGACGGTCTCCTTTCGCTTTCGAATAAATAGCTTTAGGAAGGTAGGCTGGGCTCAAATCAAATCTAAAAGCTTCAGAATGCCTTCAACCAACGGTTAGAAGATTAATTTAAGATCAAATTGATAAACAAATCATCAAAAAAAAACTAAAATTTTCAAAATTTTTAAAACGCGTTTTGCCACACTTTGGAGCTTAGCCTAACAGAGGGCGGACATTGTTAAAATCGATGTCTCAGAATTGAACGAAAATTGGTCAACTTAATCACTAATAGCCACAAAACATTCGCTTTCTTTGTTTTTTCCCAAAATTACCGTATGACGGCATACTGTAACATTTTTTTAAAAAAAATATATGCCCTAAACGAGAAAACAAAGCGCTATTTTAGCACAAATCGAGTTTAGGTGTATGTTTTCGACCATGCTGAATATATTTGTAATTGTCACCGAAAACTAAAAATTACATCTAAGCTATGTTACACATGAGGCAACATACCATTTCGGGCATAAAAAATGCAGTTTGGACGAGGCGCAGATTTTGAAACCGGAATAATAAACTTCAAGCCATGTCTAATAAACTGTAAAAATTTCAGAAAGATCAAATATATAGTTTTTGAGATATTGGATATTAAATGTCTCATGTGCAAGATCACCTCGACCCCGAAAAAATTTGGCATTCTTGGGTTTTTGGCAAGGCGCAGATTTTGAAGACCTCCAATACATTCTTATCGCATTTTAGGAGGATACAGGAAGTTTCAGAGGAAAAAAATGAATAGTTTTTGAGAAATCGACCAAAATACCTTGTTTTAGGTCATCAGATGCCCGAAAAAATCTGGCATTCTTAGGTTTTTGGCTAGGCGCAGATTTTGAAATTTTCCAATACATTTTTATGACATTTTAGGAGGATATAGAAAGTTTCAGAGGAAAAAAATGAATAGTTTTTGAGAAATCGGCCAAAATACCTTGTTGTAGGTCATCAGATGCCCGAAAAAATCTGGCATTCTTAGGTTTTTGGCTAGGCGCAGATTTTGAAAGTTTCCAATACATTTTTATGACATTTTAGGAGGATATAGAAAGTTTCAGAGGAAAAAAATGAATAGTTTTTGAGAAATCGGCCAAAATACCTTGTTTTAGGTCATCAGATGCCCGAAAAAATCTGGCATTCTTAGGTTTTTGGCTAGGCGCAGATTTTGAAAGCTTCTAATACATTTTTTGACATTTTAGGAGGATATTGAAGGTTTCAGAGGAAAAAAATGAATAGTTTTTGAGAAATCGGCCAAAATACCTTGTTTTAGGTCATCAGATGCCCGAAAAAATCTGGCATTCTTAGGTTTTTGGCTAGGCGCAGATTTTGAAAGCTTCTAATACATTTTTATGACATTTTAGGAGGATATTGAAGGTTTCAGAGGAAAAAAATGAATAGTTTTTGAGAAATCGACCAAAATACCTTGTTTTAGGTCATCAGATGCCCGAAAAAATCTGGCATTCTTAGGTTTTTGGCTAGGCGCAGATTTTGAAAGTTTCCAATACATTTTTATGACATTTTAGGAGGATATTGAAGGTTTCAGAGGAAAAAAATGAATAGTTTTTGAGAAATCGGCCAAAATACCTTGTTTTAGGTCATCAGATGCCCGAAAAAATCTGGCATTCTTAGGTTTTTGGCTAGGCGCAGATTTTGAAAGTTTCCAATACATTTTTATGACATTTTAGGAGGATATAGAAAGTTTCAGAAGAAAAAAATGAATAGTTTTTGAGAAATCGGCCAAAATACCTTGTTTTAGGTCATCAGAACACAGAATCGTACCCTTCGGCGTACATTTGACAAAAGTTTTGTAGAGAGCTCGAATTTATTTGTGACAATTTGGAGAAAAAAACAGTACCACACATATATCTCGGAAAAAAAGAGATGCCGAAGAAAATTGGTCGAATTTTCCAGCAACTTGACCTATAACAGGTTCACCATGGTCGATATCTCAAAAACTATTCACTTTTTTCCACTGAAACTTTCTATTTCCTCCTAAAATGTCATAAAAATGTATTGGAAACTTTCAAAATCTGCGCCTAGCCAAAAACCTAAGAATGCCAGATTTTTTCGGGCATCTGATGACCTAAAACAAGGTATTTTGGCCGATTTCTCAAAAACTATTCATTTTTTCCTCTGAAACTTTCTATATCCTCCTAAAATGTCATAAAAATGTATTGGAAACTTTCAAAATCTGCGCCTAGCCAAAAACCTAAGAATGCCAGATTTTTTCGGGCATCTGATGACCTAAAACAAGGTATTTTGGTCGATATCTCAAAAACTATTCATTTTTTTCCTCTGAAACTTCCTGTATCCTCCTAAAATGCGATAAGAATGTATTGGAGGTCTTCAAAATCTGCGCCTTGCCAAAAACCCAAGAATGCCAAATTTTTTCGGGGTCGAGGTGATCTTGCACATGAGACATTTAATATCCAATATCTCAAAAACTATATATTTGATCTTTCTGAAATTTTTACAGTTTATTAGACATGGCTTGAAGTTTATTATTCCGGTTTCAAAATCTGCGCCTCGTCCAAACTGCATTTTTTATGCCCGAAATGGTATGTTGCCTCATGTGTAACATAGCTTAGATGTAATTTTTAGTTTTTGGTGACAATTACAAATATATTCAGCATGGTCGAAAACATACACTTAAACTCGATTTGCGCTAAAATAGCGCTTTGTTTTCTCGTTTAGGGCATATCTTTTTTTAAAAAAAATGTTACAGTATGCCGTCATATGGTAATTTTGGGCAAAAATAAAGAAAGCGAATGTTTTGTGGCTATCAGTGATTAAGTTGACCAATTTTCGTTCAATTCTGAGACATCGATTTTAACAATGTCCGGGCCAAACTACGATTTGTAATAAAACGCGTTTTAAAATTCTTCTAACAAAATTTCCGGTTTCACATTTTAAAAAGTTCAATTTCCAGCCAATTTTTGTATTTCAACATTTGAAAAAACTTCTGAAGCTCTCAAAACCTATAACTTACGCTTTGATTTGCTTTGAAGTCAGGAGAATATCACTTTCGAACAATTGATCCATCAAAGGCCGATTTCTCCCTGCTTCAGTCCCATCATTCATTGCTTTGAGTGGTCGATATTGTCTGGCCGGCTTGCTTCCAAGTTTGGCCATGGAATTGAGGAATCCTCTCATCAAGTTGTTGGCATCGAGAAGGTCTCTGAAGGAAAATTTTATTACTTTTGATGACTTTTAGATCGAAATAGATTGCCGATTTTTGCAGTGTGAAAACTTTAAAAATTCGGGTTTTGTAAAATACGCACAGTTTGGAGAATATCTCGAAAAAATGGCTTCTAGACCTGCACGGTGCAAAAAAAATATTTTATACATTGCACTGTGCAAACTAACCCTATACATTTTTTAAAAGGTAAAATGTATAAGGTTAGTGTAAAATACGAAAAAAAAAATTCTTTTTTTGTATGTCATCTTTTTTCATTGCACAGTGGCGTCTTTTAAGATTTTAAAAAAGAATTATTTTTGCACAATGCAAATTTTGAAACTCAAATTTTGCGCAAAAAATATTCATCTCAAAGGTAAAATTTTTCGATGTGAAATCGTTTTTCTTATGTCTAACCATGAACAGCGCAAAAAATATATTTTCCCTTCGCACAGTGCATTCTCAACCAAGAACTTTTTTACACTGTGCATTGCCATTTTGAAAGATTTTGTTTCGCACAGTGCATATTTTGAAACTTAAAATTTTCCGTAAAAATACTTGATATCCAAGATTTTTTGGTGCAAAATTATTTTCCCTTAGGGTTAATAATGAACAGCACAAAAAAAAATTATTTCCCCTTTGCACAGTGCATTCTCAACCAAAAACATTTCTGCACTGTGCACCCTCCCGCTTCCCATTTTCCAACTTACTTTGACTGTGGATCCTGCAACCCCACATCCGACGCGATGATATTTTGCTCTCCGACCACTGGAAATACGGGTACACCTTCGGCTTTGACCGTGACCAGCGGTGTCGGCGGCGGCGGTGTGGGCGGAGGGGGCAAAAGCGTGAAGGGGGCGGGGCTTTGGCCGGGCGGGGGTAAAAGTGTGAACGGTGGTGGGGTTTGGCCCGGAGGGGGGAGTAGTGTGAACGGAGGGGGTGTTTGCCCTGGAGGTGGGAGCAGGGTGAAAGGGGGCGGAGTTTGGCCGGGTGGCGGCGGAGTCGGGAAAAGTGTTGGGAAAAGGGGCGGGGCTAAAAAAGCAACGTCAAATTTGGACAAGCAGAAAGTTTGGGGAGAGTAATTGCTATATTTTTTATTTTTCTTACGGGTCGTGGAAGAGGGTGTACTTGCATCAGGGAGTAGTTGAGAATACTCATGAAGTTCGTCGAGGAACTGAAGAACCGAAAAGATTACGAAATATAGATATTTACTTTACCTTGAAGAAGTTTTTCCCAAATCGATCAGTCAGACGGCCAACTGGAGCTCCACTTTGTCGAGGGGCCCTAAAACTTTCATTTTTTCGCAAGCATAAAAAAAGTGTAATTTTAAAGATTTGGAAGTATGTAAATCTTGAAAATATTTGGGAATGTTTTAAATTTCACAACGCCGAAAGCACGCGATTTTAAATTTAAAAAACGTCGCAAAATTTTTTATTATAGCAGATGTCGACATGGGGAAATGTAGCGCAACACGTCAATGCAGTGCCCTTTAGATATCAAAATTCTTTCGGAAAAAATTTTTGGAGGACAAAATTGGTTTAAAAAAGTCCGCTAACTCAAGTTAGTGCCTCTTTTGTACGTGAAACACCCGCCCGAACTCGGAAAGCCCCCGTTATTTTCCGACCAGAAAAAAGGGTTTTGGCCAGGCTAGTCAAGAAGAAAACCAAATTTTCTCAATTTTTTTGACTAAACGCCACATTGATTAATTTATAATAGGTCAGGAAATGGCTTTCATTATGCTGGACTGACGTGCTCAGGTCGATCAATAAAAACCTTTGGTCTTTTACGCAAAATCATCAAAAGCATGTGTGTTTCCGGCAACCACAAGAATTACGCGGTTTCAAAACGTTTTAGCGTTGCTACTCTTCATATAAGTCGGTCAAAAATAGCCAAAAAATCGCAAAACAAAAATTCTCCGACTTACAATGCAGTCAATAATTGGAATGGATTGGCCTGACGTTTGGATCTTCCGGAATTCGCTAAAATTTCTTCATTTTGCTCGACTTGACAGTGAAAAAAAAATAAAAAGTGCAGGCATTTCGTGCAAGCGTGTTTATTCAAATAAAAAAAACGTGCAAAATAAAGTGTGAAACGACCAAAAATAATATAGAAGTGCAAAGAACTGAAAGTGTACAGACAAATATTGCACTGAAGTCTCTAAAGCTCCGAAACTATACAATAAAACATGAATATTCCAAAAAAAGGCGTGTAGACAGTGCGAAACAAGCTACAGTAACCCTCCTTATGACATACCAAGTCTACTATGCCCGTCGTATTTAATTTCACGGACATTTCGGCTGTTTCGGCCGCGCCGATTTTTCTTTGGCCCCGGTTTTTTGGCCTTAGCCTTTGGTTTGGCCTTTGGCTTGGCCTTAGCCTTGGGCGGGTCTGAATACTTGAGGTAATACTCGGCCAGATACTCGTCCGTGCTTCTCTTTGGCTTCTTTTTACTTGCTTCCGCGATGGCTTGTCCGAGATTTACAAAGTCTCCGAAGGGATTATTCCCATATTCGTCACCGCTTCCGGCACCTCCAGCTCCACCAAACATTGAGGTAATCGCCTGAAGATGAGTTAGAGTCAACTGCTAGATTTCCTCTCAATTTTGCACACACAATAGGCATACCCCTTACATCAACTTCCGAAAGTATTAGCTCACGCTTTGCAGGGACAGTTGAGGTATTCAGCTTAGCGATCTTTGCCGAAAAGAGCACGCAAAACGCGGAGAGCAGTCACAAAAAAGTTTTTACATGTGTGTGCCAACATTCGCAAAAAATCACGTTATTCTTGCCAACTACCGATCTAAAAACCTCCGCCGTTTCTGCAATCAGCGAGCAAGAAATCTGACAAGCGTTGGCTACAAATAAAAGCCTTTACATATTTTTTTTGCTATCAAACAGTCAAAAGATTTCTTTAGTAAGAAGGCTCTTGATTTCCTCATCTATATAATATCTCTTTTTCCATTCGTATTCACAGATACCAAGCAAGAACGCCAAAAAAATTTACCTGAATGGCTGCAGCATTTCCTCCAGCGCCTCCCGCGGGACCAGCCGGCCCCGCTCCTCCTGCACCAAGTGCGGAGCCGGCTCCACTGTTACCGGCTCCGCCAACAGAATCCAAGCCACTGCCCAAGAATGGCTGGATGAACGAGAGAAAATTTTGGGCCTGAAAAATGATGATTACATTCCAAAAAAAAGGCTCTCTCCCAAAAAGAATGACTTTAGCTTACCGTAATAAATAACAAAGAAAACTGTAAAGTGGAGAACGTGAGCCAGTACCTCATGACTCGCTCATCTGTTGGAGAATTGAACCTGAAAAGGGAGGACTTGCAACAGATCACCAACTCATAAAGAACCAGTAACAAGTTCGCGTAAACGAATGTCTAGAGGATCGCTGACCCTGTTTTCGCCCATCTAATCTACATTTACATTATCCTCAATTTATGAGCGACTCAAAACCAGTCATTTTGGGGAGAAAACTTTCTCCAGAATTTATGAGAAAAACAAGCGAAGAAGAGGGCATTCAAGTTTGGAGAGGGACTGTAAATTTAAAGTTTGGAAAAAAGTAAAAATTCAAAAATTGATGACATAAAAGTTGGAAAAAACTGTAAAATTTTTGACCTTCTGCATAATGCACAGACGTTTTGAAAAAACGAAGTGAATCAATTTCTTGAAAATCTTGGATTTTGATCATGTCGAGAAAATAATGTGGATTTATCGCAGTAAAATGTCTCGCCTCGCCGTTGTCGCGAACAAATCTAAAGGCCGCCTAGCCATCGCAAAGCGATGATGGGCGATTACAGTACGAAACCTCATTATTTTCCCGACATACTGATATCTTATAAGCGGCGGCACAAAGATTCTGCAGTTCTCTTCGCGAGGAAGCACACGAAAGGAAGAGGGACGGCCAGGCGAGAAAGCGCTTTTGACTCGTAAGTTCTTTGTTTTTGCTGGGAAAAATCTGATTTTTTGTGGGAAAGTTATACGTCCTAAGAGTAATTCAGTCTATGATTTTTAAATGTAAAATTTTAATTGCCGGTTTTTTATAGGTTTTTTTCTTTTTTGTGTATGTATTGGTAAAGCTTCATGAATTTGGCTAAAATTCGCAACGCTTCTAAAAAAATCAATTTTTTCAATGCAAAACTAGCAAAGATATGACCTAAGAAGCGTTTTTAACTTTGATCATTCTCAGAATTTTCTGTAGTCTCATGCAAAGGCCGTTGAATATTTCGACTGCCTTTGTAAAAGCAGGCCAAAACTTTGTGTAATTGATATATGATATATGACCCATGTATGGTAAAATTTTAAAAAAGTCATCATAATTACTATGCTCATAGCCCAAGTAAACAACAATAATTATAAAAAAAACAATATATAAATAAAGTAATGTAAGCCACGATCAATGATGAGCTCGAAAGATACCCTAAGAAACTAAACTGAAAACTATTCAACGTTGAGTTATCCGGAAAAAATTTTTCGCGAAGTTGCTACACAAATTTCTAAGACTTTTGGCATCAGCGGATAGTTGAAATTTTGCTTTTCGCGCGAGCTGCGCCCTGTTGAAAATGAAATTTTTCGATTTTTGATCGCCTGTAACTTTTGAACCAGTGGATGTTGAGACAAGCTATTGTGTGATATTTCATGTGAGGGTGGGGCCCTTCCTTCGCGGATTTTCGAAATTTGCATAACATGCCCCCAGGGCGATATAGCAGTTTGAGCCTTCAGGGCATCGGAGTGAAAAAAACTCAAATTCCATTCGTATCCACATCTCCAGTAATGAAAAACATCCCGTTACACCATAGTCGATTTATCGACCGGTCGATAGTTATTCCCAATTTTCCGAAATTTCCATTTTTCACCATCAAGATGACGGAATTTCTGGATTTTGACAACGGATTCTGAATCTGCATGCCTGAGTTGCCCTAGAACCACCTTTCGTATCTTTGCATCGTATTTCGTATTTTAGCCATTCGAGATTTTTTGAAGTTGTTGGTGTCATGTGTAATATTCAAATTTCCGTTTCTCGGAAACTAGGTCGAAATTCAAAAAAAGGGCTTCGCGTTGATCTTGGTATTGGACCAGAGTACCTTCATACGATTTTTCGGCTTCGGAGCTTCGGTGGGATTCTCTAAAAACGTGCATGACGGTCAATTTTTCACTTTTTTTTCGAAAATTCGGCCCTGAGGGCACGGACTTCAAATTTTTCGGATTTTCGTGTGTGCCCTCAGATTCAGCATTCAAAACTACCCTATATTCGACTTTTGATTCCTAAAATACGATTGAGATACGAACGCACTGTGCGATTCAAAATTTTCGAGGATTCAGAATTTTGGCACGGTATCCTGAATATCTCGGAAACTAGGGCGAAATTCAAAAATCTGAGAAAAACGCACCTGCGTATTTCGCCTGGCTACAATCGTGCCAAATTTCAGCTCTCTCAGTTCACGCCCTCAGGGTGAAAATCGAAAAAAAAAATTTTGCCGGATTTTCAAAAATTCGAAAAATCGCCCTAAGGGCGTCAAAATTCAAATTTCGTGAATCGAGACTTGGACCATCGTGTTCAGCGTGAAAAATCGGTCCAGAAACCACTTTCATTTCCTAAAATACGACTCGGCGAGGCCGGAGGCCGAGCCGAGTCGTCCCCAACAGCGGTGGACTTTGGATTTTTTTGTGCGAGGCCGAGCCGAGAGAGGGAAATTCCTTTGCTTTTACGCAAGTTTGAATTTCGAGAGAGAGCGGAGAGCGAGAGAGGGAAATTCCTTTGCTTTTACGCAAGTTTGAATTTCGAGAGAGAGCGGAGAGCGAGAGAGGGAAATTCCTTTGCTTTTACGCAAGTTTGAATTTCGAGAGAGAGCGGAGAGCGAGAGAGGGAAATTCCTTTGCTTTTACGCAAGTTTGAATTTCGAGAGAGAGCGGAGAGCGAGAGAGGGAAATTCCTTTGCTTTTACGCAAGTTTGAATTTCGAGAGAGAGCGGAGAGCGAGAGAGGGAAATTCCTTTGCTTTTACGCAAGTTTCGAAATTCGAGAGAGAGCGGAGAGCGAGAGACCGGAAGAGAAGACAAAGAAATAAAGCGGAATTCCCCATTCCAAGGGGGCGGGGTAAAGTTGGGTTGGCTGGGGTGAGTGATTGTGATTCGAAATATTTGCTCCGGGTCGGAGCGGAGCATGTCTTTCCACCGGGCTTGAGTAAGTAGAACGCGCGTTAGCGCGTTTTTCTGGCCGCGCGAAGCGGGGCCAGCGACTCCAGAGGTAGTGCGCGATCAACAACCTTCATCCGTGGCAACCTTTGCGCGCACAGCGACGTCAAGGCCCCGCGAAGCGGGGGCTTGTCAAAAACTCCCCAATTTGCTAAAATGAAAAATACTCAACGTGCACTTTTTTTCGAGACTTTTTTTTTGTCAACTGGTGCAGGGATTCGATGACTTTTGGCATCAGCACTTAGTTGGAATTTTCATCCTGGCGGGAATTGCGAGCGTTTGAAAATGGGATTTTTTGATTTTGGATCGGCTGTAACTTTTCACATTTTTCGAGTCGCCCTTAGCTTTTCTACATTTTTCATCATCGACCGGGGCCAAAATCCTGCGAATTTTCGAATTTTTCACATATATGCCCTGAGGGTACCTGGTGTTAACGCTATCCAGCGGGACGAAACTGAGTTCCATCATTATCTACGCAAAATTCTAAGCCTTTTGAGCTAAAGGTCGTGAGTGTGGGATCGACCGGTCGAAAGTTATAAGCGATTTTCGACATTTTTCGGTTTTTTCCAGATTTCACCATCAAAATGACGGAATTTCTGGATTTTAACAACGGATTCTGAATCAGCATGCCTGACATGCCCTAGAACCATGTATTGCGTTACCGTGTCGTATTTCGTATTTTAGCTATTCGAGATTTTCTGAAATTTCCCAAAAAAGTCCAAATTTTCCGGAAAGTATTCCGGAAAAACTAGATCGAAATTCAAGAAAAGGGCTTCGGCATTGTCTCGGCAATAGACTGAAGTTACTCTGTGCTTATTTTCGGCTTCTGATACGGGGCCGGAATGCTCATCGAACGCACCGTAGCGAATTTTCGGGATTTTTTGCAGAAGATCGGCCCTGAGGGCTCAGACTTCAAATTTTTCTGATTTTCGAGATGAGCCCCGTAATCAGCACATCAAACTGCCCTAGAAACAGCTTTCACTTCCCAACATACGACCATCTTACCCCGCCCGCCTAGCGACAAAGGCAAAAAGTTGAAAATTTCTGGATCCGCCCTTCCAGAACTCGGCTGCCAGTGGAGCTATCGACACGATCTTGGTACCAATCGACGCAGAATCAAATTTTGGGTAATATTCATGTGCGCAACTCCGATTTTTTCGTAAAATACGACCGTCCAAACCAAAATAAAATCTTTTCAGCGAACTAAATGCGCCCCGAGGGCAAAAGTGCAAAATTCAAAATTCGGCTCGGGTCAATTTTCGACAAATTCCATAAGCTTCCATCGTGCCAAATTTCAGCCCAATCGCTTTCGAATTCAGTGAGCACCGGCCGAATTTCGGCCAAGAGTGGGCATTTCGGCCGAAAATCAGCCATACGACCGCTAAATTCAAATTTCGTGAATCGAGACTTGGACCATCGTGATCAGCGTGAAAAAACGGTCCAGAAACCACTTTCATTTCCTAAAATACGACTCGGCGAGGCCGAAGGCCGAGCCAAACTGACTTTTTTTTGGAAGCTTCGGCGGCCGAAGGCCGCCGTGGGTTACGGAACCTTCTGAATGTTGCTGTAGAGTGCTGTAGCGCACTGTGCCGAGGCCAAAGGCCGAGGCAAAGTTCAATAACGATGGGGTAAGACAAAAAAAATGATTTTGCGAGGCCGAAGGCCGAGCCAAACCGACTTTTTTTTGGAAGCTTCGGCGGCCGAAGGCCGCCGTGGGTTACGGAACCTTCTGAATGTTGCTGTAGAGTGTTGTAGCGCACTGTGCCGAGGCCGAAGGCCGAGGCAAAGTCTTAAGAACAGTTGATTGGTCAAAGTTAGCTGATGAAAGGTAGCGCTGGCGCGCGGCCTTTTGTTGACGGGAGGTGTAGCGCTGGCGCGCGGCCCTTAGCTAACAGAAGTGCCGGGCTTGAGGCAGTATAACGCGCGTCAGCGCGTTGTTGGCCACGCGAAGCGTGGCCTGGACGATCAACTGTAGTGCATGCGATCAAGTCAACTTCACGTTGGGCAACCTTTGCGCGCACAGCGGCGTCAAGGCCCGCGTCAGCGGGGCTTGTCCCTTTTACCCCACGCGAAACTCCTTTTTGTGG